ATTTCTTGCCCTTTTTGTGTTTTTTTTCTATTTGTTCTAACATATAAAATAGTAGTAAGACTACTCTAATGCTAATTAGATATTCAAAGAGGGTGGCTAAAGTTTTTTAAATAGAGGTATGGTGCATACAGCATAAACCTAGTTTATTTGGGGCTCTATTTCAAATATAATGGTCGCTTTGCCAAGTCATCCATAATAATCTTTATTTATTCTCTAATTTGGGCTTCAACTCAATAAATTAAGTCCGACTTAATTTATCCAAATTTTAATCCTTCACATTTATGTTCTATTATGTATAACTTATTATATTCCTTAACATATTGGAAATAAATATAAGAATTATGATTATTTGATTGAATTCAAATTAGGTGAATCAAAACCATATTCATCATTAATTTTTTAATTAATTATCTTATATTTATAGATCATGATCATCATCAAGTAATGAAGCGATGACTACCAAATGCTAAAGAATGACTACGTTGTTTGACATACCTATTAATTCTTGGTTTTTCAATATAATTTGGCTTCTCAATATAATTAATATCCTTTAATCACTTATTATCTCAGTTTAACATTGAGCATGGATTAATAACTACCCAATCTTGTTTAGCTATATTAAGTCTTATTTTTTAAATTAACTCTCGAATAAGCTTTAGAACTATTCTAAAACTTTATTTCACTTTGGCCAAAGATTTCTTAAGTTAATTCGTTCAAGACTAAAAGAGATTTTTTTTATCACACAAGGTAATGAATCTTATATTGATTACTTATGCATCTTTATATGCCTCATTTTATACCTAACAATACCTTATTAGAACATTTATGATTAGAACTACAAGTATATTAAAATCAAAGTATAATATTCATCATATAAGATCATTGATAATCTCTAGTCAAAGGATCACTTATGCAACCAAAGTATGAGAATATTGTTATAGACACTATGTGATTACCAAATAATATTCTCATATCAGGTCATATTAAGTAAATTTATTTTTATAACAAGCATCCACATGTTAGCTCAAGTTTATCTAAACTTCAACCTAGGAGATCGATTACTTGTTTCATAAGTGAGTTCATAGCCATGTGTTGATCTTAATAGTTCTTATCAATGTCCTTTCTTGATAAAGCATTAACTAGGAACATTTTAGGAATATAACTTTCATGTAATGATGATCTTATAATTACAATCTCATTTGTAAAGCTGTATTTATTTCAAGAACTTTATAATCTAAGTACTAGTAATAACATTGTATAGCTTGATGATAAATCCAAACCTTTCATTAGATAATTAAATTTCATATAACAATGTATTTGCACAAAATCAATTTGGCTATTAAGGCATATGCCAACAATTTTCCATTTACACTAAAGCCAATCACCCATGTATCTAATACCATGTATGGCTATATGTTTATTATGCTTTTATTGGGACAGTGACTTGGTGAGAGGATTAACTGGGTTATCTTCAGTGAGCACTCATTCAATATTTACATTTTCTCCGTATATGAAATCTCTAATGAAATGATAATGCCTTAATATATATTTAGATATTTGATGAGACTTTGTTCATTTGCTTGAGCAATTGCTCCATTGTTGTCACTATAAATAGTTATTGAACCAATAGTACTAGGAACAACATTTAGTTCAATTATGAACTTTTGATCTAAACTTTTTTTTTTGTAGCCTTAGACACAGAGATATATTTGACTTTGGTTGTAGAATTTGTAGTTGTAGTTTGTTTGAAACTTTCCACCTAATTGTTCTACCATTTAAAATAAGAACATAGGCATTTTAAGATTTGCTATCATTTTTATCAGATTGAAAGTTTGATTCACAATAACCTTAATATAGAGTTCAACTCCACCATAGATAAGAAACATATCCTTAGTTATTCTCAAGTGCTTCAGTATTATTTTTACAGCCTTTTTGTGATGATCACCTAGATTCATTTCATATCTACTTGTTATGCTTAACGTATAAAAGACATTTGGCCTTGTGCAAAGCATTGGATACATGATAAATCCTATTGTCAAAGCATATGATATATTATGCATGTGACGTTTTCTACTTGTGTCTTAGATCATAAGTCTTCTAAAAGATTTATGCCTTACGAGTTGTGACGAAGGTAAGAATCCCTTTTTAGATTCTTTTTTCATGTTAAATATTTTTAATATTTTGTTTATGTATATAGTTTATGAGATTTCAAGCAACCTTGTAGATCTATCTTTATAGACTCTCATTCCTAATGTATATATCACCTATCCTAAATCTTTCATGGAGAACTTATTTGATAACAAAATCTTAGTAGATTGAAACATTAGTATATCATTTCCTATAAGCAATATGTTATATACATATAGCACTATTAAAATGATTACAGTCCTACTAGTCTTCCTATATGCACAAGGTTCATCTACATTTTTGATAATTCCAATGTTTTAACTTCTTGAAGCTTGCTTGAGTTCGTAAATGAATCTTTGAAGCTTGCATACTTTGTTGGCTTCTTGTTTGGATGTATCTTTTGCTTGATTCTTGCTTGAATCTTTACATGAATTTTATCATGGCTATTGTATCTTTTTCTACTAGCCTAATTTTGTACATACAAATCCATGTCGATCATGTTCAATGTGCCTTATGTTCAATATGCATTGCACTTTAATTGTTTTACCAATCATATCTTGCAATTTTTAGACTGATAATGTGGTAATTGATGTAGAAGTTGAAGTATTCAACAAAGGGATTTTCGCTTTTAGGACATCTTTCAGTTTCTTAGAAGTGTCAACATTTGATTTTTTTGCTATAAGACTTGGAGAATGCAATTGATCATCTATTTACTTTTCGTCTTGCTGTATTTTTTTTTGGCTTTTGAGTTTTTTGATTTCCACATTTTTTTCCATCACTTTAATAAGATTAACCATCTTTCTTTCCATATCAACAAACTTTTCTTCCCATATAAGGAACTAGTAATCATGATCGACATGAGTTCAAAAATAAAATCCAATAACATTATTGGCACTTCCCAAGCAATTAGTCCTCTTAAAAAGCTTACCATCATATATAACTAGTAAAACGTCCTAGCTTCGCTCTAAAAACAAATAATATTTTTGCATGTATAACTAGGAATTACAGAATAAATTAATTTTATATAATCAAAACACATAAGATTACATATTTTCAAATATCATATAAGAAAACACATTCTTTTTAATTTTTATTTTTATATATGTTTTTTGAAATAATTTCATAAAATAAAATCATGCACATGGTTAAAAATTTAAATAAGAAAAAATAAAATAAACAAAAATATACCTCACAAACTATTAGGCTTTACACTTTGATCCAAAATCAGATGGGTTAGGATTACAATTGGATCAAGTTTGGAATGAGTAGCCCATCCCCCTTTTTTTTTTGTTTTTCTTATTGTCAAAACTATGTTGCTTTGGCCAAAAATAATTAAAAACTTAATTCTCAAGCTACTATAAAATCATTTTCTTTTTACCTTTTTTCTTGCATCTTTCCTTTTTTTTTCTCATCACCATTAGCGACCAATTACTCCATCTCTATTTATTCTCTCTTTGTTTTGATTGTTGACCATTTGTGCTACCACTAGCATTGTCTTAGTCGGCTGTTTCTATTTTTTTTCCTTCTCTTTTTCTTTATTTTATTTTCTCCGTCTTTCTTCTCATCGGCTCCCTACTCCCTGATCTAGTACTGCCACTCAAGTCAATGGGCAAACTTGTGGCTGGCAACATTTTCCCTACTATTTCTTTCTTTCTTCCCTTTTCGCTCATTTTATTCTTTCTTTAGCTTATCCTCACGGCTATCTCTTTTTTTTTTTTTAATTTAATTTTCAAATCTCACTTATCGTCTACTTTCTCGTTTTTGGTTTATTTTTTGTTTAATTTTATTTTGGATTTTGGTTAAGTTGATTTATGGATCATGTACTTTTGGTTTGTTTTTTGTTTTATGTGTGTTCTATTTTTTTTGTCTTATTTTTCATTACATTTGAGTTTGATTTATATTTTGAATTTTGAGTTATTTGATGTTGAATTTGAAAATATTGGAGAATTTTTATTGAAATTTGAAAATTTTTTATATTTCCTTATTTCCCCATTTGTTATCAGCTTTGCCATAAGAAAAGGAGTGCAGCTTTGGTTCCGTTAGTGGCGATGGTTCCTTTCATTCTCCACCTTTTATGTATTTCAATATGTTGTTGCAAAATACCGTTAATAACCTCAATAATTGAAATAATATCATGCTTGTCTAAAAATAAAGATGTTAAACTCAATTTCCACTTATTGTGAGTTTAATTCAATTTTATTTTGAATTTATTTAGTTATGGTTTGATTTATTAATTGATTTAGTAATTTTTTATATATGAATGTACTAGTTGGTTATGATTGTATTTTTTTTTGTACTTATAATTTCATAAAAAAATGTATATAGAGAATTTAAAATGCAAAATGATCATTTCATAATATCATATAATTGTTAACTATTAATCCATTTGACAATTCAAATCATTTCATATACAGGTATAGATATAGTATGTATGATCTGGTACATTAATTTTATGAAAAATCATTTCCATTTGATACAAATTATTTTTTTAAAGAATCTTTTAGACCATGAATTAATTTGCATCAAACGCTCACTTAAATTATAATTTTTTTCTTATAATTTGTGCTTATCATTATATGTCTAACAATCAACAGTCAAATTATAAATAACATAAATTATCTGATTTTTTGTTCTCTAAATTATTATCTTAGAAAGCTTGTTTAAACAAAATTATAGATTTTTATGATATGCTCTATACAAAATTTATATAAATTTTTTAAAAAAAATTTATATAATTGATCTTAAAATTATAAAATATAAAATATAATTTGTTTTTGTTATTGTCCCCCAAATTTACATTTGATAACCTTTTTTATGTTGTGTTAATTGTGTACCAAAATTTCTGGAAAAAGAAAGTATACAAATATTTGCTGATGTGATGTATAGAAGAAATGAAAAAACAAAACAAGACAAAAACCGGATAATGCTTTGATAGGTCCGGATTGCTGAGGCTCCCCTAAAAAAGGAAGGGAAAGGAAAAAACGTTGAGTAGCTTCGCGGTGAGTGGATGAGGATGGCTTTGCGGTGGGCGATGGCGGTGTCCTCTCCTTATTCTTCGCAATCGCATGCAGCAGATGCGGTTCTTCCAAAGTTTTTCTGCTCGAAAACCCTCTACCAATCTCACCGCTCTTTCACCTTTCCCCTTTATTCAACGAACTGGTTCTTGTTGCCCCGCAAGACCTTCAGCTCTACTGCTAGGGTTGCCCCCTTCCGCTGCTTCTCTTCTGGTACTTCGCTTCTCTCCTTTCTCAAATATACTTTCTTGGAATTTTATATTTACCATATTACAAATTCCCTTAAAATTCAGAAATAATCTCTTTAGAGGAAATCAAAAAAATTTTTTTGTTCAAATCCAATGGCCAATGGTCATATCATTTTTGTGGGTCTCCATTGGATTTTGAATTTGCCATTTTTATTTTACAAAATCGTGCTTACATCTGTATGAGGATTCAGTAGGACTACTATATTTGGAATATTATTGAAAAAACTAAGTTAAATGTCTTAGTTAGCAACTCCTCTTTCTTTGGTAGCCAAAAGTTTTTAACATGATTGGACTCTGAAAATATGACCAATGAACGATGGTCCTAAGAATATCTTAATAACAGTCAAGAAACCATAAGCCAAAAAAACTCCATTCTTGTTATTGACTTGACTTCCTTAGGGAGGATGAATCTTCTCCAACTAAATTATGGCAGATGCATTACGGTAACGGTAGCCCTTTTATTCTTTACACATTCATGTTTGGTTTTGCGTGCAGCCTTAACTCCTGAGCTAAAGAATACTGTGGATAAGGTGGTCAAATCAAATAAGGTGGTTCTTTTCATGAAAGGAACTAAGGACTTTCCACAGTGTGGGTTTTCAAATACTGTGGTGCAAATTTTGAATTCTTTGAATGTTCCTTTTGAAACAATAAACATACTAGAGAATGAAATGCTACGTATGGGTTTGAAGGAGTATTCCAACTGGCCTACCTTTCCTCAACTTTATATTGAAGGAGAGTTTTTTGGGGGTTGCGACATCACAGTTGGTAAGTTTTTGTTTATTGGTCATTTTTAATTTCACTTTGCTTTTCAATAAAACAAGATATCACTTTGAAATCAGCTGCTATCATTTCCCATTATTGCTTATAAATCAAATGTAAATACTCCAGTTTTAGGCAATTGCTTCCCTTGGGGTATTTATTTCCAGTTCCAATGTAAGTTTTTGGGTTAATTTCAAGATCTTTCTCATTGGTCTATTTTACTGCCTCATGTTTGGAGTACTTTCTTCATTTTTTCTGCTCTTGCTCTATCTTTATGACATGTGTACACGCTTATCATCATACACAAATGCAGATGAGTGAACATGAGCATGAAAATGTGCATGCACACATAAACATTCACATAAAGACAAATAATTACTTCAAGCTATTCCTCACTGTTTATTAGGGCCTGATGCAATATCTTTCCACTGTGAAAGGAGGGGAAGAAAACCAAAAAATCTTTTGTACTGGGCAGGGGAGGTGGGGTGGGGGAGGGATTGGGAATGATAAGCTTCCGTTCTGGCCCATGGTAGTGGGATACCTTCTCCTATTTAAGTTAGAGATAAATACTCATAGCAGCATTGAACCAATAAAGAGACTAGATTTACTACTATACATTTTACTGTGAAACTTCCATGCTTTTCAAAATGTCTGCTATCCATCATTGTAGAATGACATTGTTTGGTCTCTGAAGATTTTTCTGATCCATCTTTTAGGGATGGATTTCTCTATGTGAAGAAAATTTGAGTGAGCATTTTTGAAATGTTATTAAGTCAACCTATAATAAGAAATACATTTCATGAATATGTTGCAGATGTCTCACTCGTGTGTTTCAAAAAGTTTTTATATATTGGAATGGTTTGAAATAGTGAGAATTTTTTTATTAGCATTTTTGGTTAGTACAATACGCTAGAACTGGAGTCACGGGATTTCAATCATGTGGTTATGCCTCTTCCTTATCTGAAAAGTAAAATGTTTTTCAAGAACTATAATGGATATATAATGGCAGAAAATAATGATTTGCTTGCACTGCAATTCCAATGTATAATATAATATGGCAATTTGTTTAGAAAACTCAGAATGCTGAAATTGGCATGATCCAGTGGCTGGATTTCACCTTGTATTGTATGGCGTAACTTGCAATTTCTGTTGTTGGTAGTGTTAATCACTGAGACACATTAGCTAAAATAGACATGTTTCACATACAAAATACTTTTGCGGGCTGGAAATTCCAGACAGTGGGTGCAGGATCTTCATTATTTCAAGTAACAAATTTTCTAGATCATATCTAAATTATGAGATTCCTTGCCAGTAAAAGAGATGGAGCAATGTATTAACAATGCACTGTGGGATTGGAACCCTTCTGACCTTATTGTCGTTATTGACATTAAATAAGCCTTTGATATAGGAATTGAGAATTTGTGATACAGAAAATGATATAGATGTTTGTCATTTAGAGCATCCTTGATTGTTTCTCTGTTGATGTCCATTGTTCCTCTCATCCTCCTTTTGTTTATCTAAACACGAGGTTTTAATTGTTTTCGTAATATACTGTTTTGTATATCTATGATTTTTCTGTCTTCTGGTAGGACTTCATATAGTTTCTAACGTTGCATTTGGAAAGTATTTTTATGAATCGTTTTCTTTTTGTACCTACAGAGGCATATAAAAATGGGGAATTGCAGGAACTATTGGAGAAGGCAATGTGCACCTGATACTTACCTGCGTTGAAAAAGTGTGTTATAGTTGTACTTGCTCGGAATTGGATAATAACTTCTTGTCTTTGATTTCTTTGGTTGGAGTGGAAAAACTTGTAGAAGTCTACTGAGCTTGTGGTTGTTTGCGTTGATCTCACATTTGAATTATACAATATACTTGCAGCTTAACTCTGTCTCTGCTTGCTGTTTGGATAGCAAGATAAAAGGAATTAAGATAGAAAACGCGTGGGCTAGGGGCAGATCTTTGAAATTTGAATGGCATATCTACCTCTCCACTTTTGCTAGTGTTGCTACTAATTTGAATTTGAGTGGCTTTGATTCAAAGTATGAACATAGATTTATGAAGTTCTAGAGAGATATTTTCGTAATGGGTGTCTGGCGTCAAAAATCTTGCAAATACTGAATTGGCAAATGTATTCTTTCAATTAACGTATTATGCGGTTGGCAGGTAACGGTTTGGATATTTCAATCAATGGATATTATTATAAATTTTTAAAAATAGGTTGAAATCTGAATTTAATATTTTTGAAATCAATCCGAAGTCGAATAGAATTTTATTGGTTTATTAAATTTTAAAATTTATTTTAAAAATTTTATTATTTTAAATAGTTTTAGATAAAAATTAATTATAAAAAATTATAAAAATATTTAAAATATTTAAAATAAATAAAAATATATAATTTGATATTTTTTATTTTTTACTTTTATCCAAAAATTGAATCAAATTTAATAAAAACATGTAATATTTGAATTTAAATTAATTGAATAAAAATAATAAATAATCGATAAAATACATATTTTTCACTTTTTTTATTCATTTGAAATCTTAACTTAATTGGGGAATTTTGGAAAAGGTGCCTTTTAATATAAATTTCTATTAATTGATATAAAAAAAAACTATTTATTAGTAAGGAAATATGCCTTTTAATATAAATTTCTATTAATTGATACTAAAAAAAACTATTTATTAGTAAGGAAATGTGAAAAAAACTATTTATTAGTAAGGAAATGGTGAAATTTTAAATTTACTAAAAAGGTAGTTAATTTTACTCTTTTGACCTATGTTAAAGAAACGTAAATATTTTTCTTTCCTCTCCAGCAACATACAGAGAGCCGCCATTCCCATCATTTTTCCTCGACCTCTTCTATTTCAAAGCATGTTATCCCCTACTTTTTTTCTTGGAACAACAATTTTTTTTTTCTCACTTGGATCCTCCTGTTATTGAAACAACAACGATGCATTCGATAAATGCAGTGGTAGCGGTGAGAATGATGTCGGAATACGGCGACTTCCATCAATGAATCCGTCATGGAAGGGATTCTGTTCAGATCTCCGTGTTGGTTCATCTACGCTGGCATTTTTTGCTTTTTAGTACTCTTCATGGGGATCATATCGGGTCTCACTCCTGAACCCATGTCGCTTGGTCTCGTCGAAGTCGAAATTCTCTAGCGTAGCGGAATTTCCACTGAGAAGAAACAAACTAGTACAAAAAAATTTAGTTTTTAAATTTTAAATTTCTTTTGGTCTTGATTTGAAATTAATGTGAAAAAATAATAATTTTGATAAAATCATATAAAAGTAAAGAAGATAGATAAAAAATTATATTTTATAAATTGAATAGAGTAAGAAGATTCAAAATTATGAGTTAATATAATTTTTTTAAAACTTTTTACGCAATTGAGTTTTGAATTATAAGATGTAAGTTTGTCCCTTATTGTTGTGTTTTCGTTGCCATTGTTCAAAAGCAACGTCAATTTTTGGTGACTATGCTTCTTTGCAACAGTGCTGCTATGGAGATAAAAATTGATTTAACAACTTTTGCTTATCACGTCTTTATTTTTTACTTGATATTTGATGTGAAAAAATGATATAAGAATAGATGAAAAGCATTTGATTAATTAAGGTTGTGGCATTGATTGAAAACTTATAAGTGCTCAAATAATAAAAGTATTAAGTAAACCTAGTTCCCACGAAAATTGTAAATAAAGTTAATAGTAAATATCAAAATTATAATATTTTAATTATATTAAGATAAATTGAAATTAATATGTAAGAACAAAATTAAATTATTTAACTAATCATTGCAAAAAAAATTAACATATGTAAAAATCTAATAAAACAAACAAACAACCTAAAATCGAAATTTAAATATGTAAAAATAAAGAATTAAACTTAAATAGCAAATAGAGTTGAAATTTAAACAAGCAAAAAGAGAATTTTGATAAAATAGAATTTAAGTTGCAACCTAAAAGAATTAAATCTATTTTCTTTAAATTAAATAATGAGTCCAGTACAACAACTTAGAAAATCAAATTATAATGCAAAATATTGAATTAACTAAAATTAAAACTGAAATTAAACTTAACAAATTTAATTTAACTCATAAAATCATAAAAATAGCAAATTAAACTTGATTTAAATGATTGAAATCTAAATAATGTAAATAAATTTAAATTGCAGCTAACAGAATTGAACTTAAGCAAATTATATTTTAAATCATGCATAAACATTAAATCTAATATAATAACTTGAAACCCTAATTTATACAACTAAATTTAACTTGAGAAACTTTAAATCAAACTAGAGCAAAACTAAATTAAACTAGCAGAAATTTAAATTAACTTGAAAGAAACTAAATTGAATTAAAAACTTAAGAAAACAAAGTAAAAAAAATTAAAAAACAATGGTTGGTTGTTCTTAAACTAAAAAGAACAAGAAAAGAAAACCTTATAAAGCTATAAAATGAGCTGTCACCCAACCATGTTTTTTCCTCTTCCTAATACTAACTATTTATAAAACAAGAATACATAGAAACCCTAAACTAATGACCAGCAAACTTGATATTGAATTCCTGAAGTATTAAGTTCGACCAAACTTGGACTCTCTTTTGCATAAGTATTCTTGACTTGAATATTTATTGTACTAATTTGACTTGGCTCTCTATAATGTATGTAGACTGAATCTTAAGATGATTAGGTGCTGAATTGTATAATCTTACTGACTTAGCACTTACAAGATAAGAGTCTTGTACGACTAACTTTCTTTTGTTGAGAATAGTCTTGTTCTCTTTTAAACTCTCAAGCAGCTTTCAAAGTTTCAACTTTGAGCTATTTTCTTGAATGGTAAATCTCCTATTTTCTTGATTTTGAGTAGTTTTAAAAGTCTCAGCTACTTGTTTGCTTTTAACCCTTTCTTAATGAGTTCTTGAAGAGTTAAATCTCTAAAATTGAAGATGTAAGTTCGACTAAGTCTTCTTAAAAATCAGAAGTTAAAAGTGTTTTAGAAAGTGTTTTTCAAGTTAGAGTAGATCTTATTCCTTTTTAGAGACTTGGAATTTGCCTTCAAGCAAGACTTTTCTTTAAGAGAAAAAAATTAATTTTGAATTTAAATATCATGTGCATGCCGCCTTTTTTTTAGAAGTCTTTACATATCCATGCAAATCTTACCCTAAATAGGGATAAATGTAATTCAAGTAAAGATAGGATTTTCCAGTAAATGTAAGAAAATTAAGGGCTATTTGGACTTTTCCAATTTGATTAGAATTGCCAAGTCATCATGGTACACAAGCCTCTAAGTCATATCTCTTAGTCAATGAGAAAAGATTTGCTGCCATGTCGTCCATTAATAATTCCATGCAACCTATTTAAAACACCATGGACATGCACTTAACTTGAAATGACATTTTTGACCCTAATCATAGTCGAACATGCTTTTCTTTATTCTTGCATGAATTTTTTGAAATCTTCATCAAGATTAAATAATTCTAACTCCCATAGGTTCATCTAAGCAAATATTGTATAATTTCATCACTTTCACTCTAAGATTTCCAAGAACTCTAAGAATCAATAAGAACACATAAAATACAGTCCAAGATTCATCCTAATATATTAAGAATCATTTAAGATTAGATCAAGAACTTCTAAAATTCTTCAAGATCAAGAACTTCTAAAATTCCTCAAGATTTAATTTTTCTTTCAAGATTTCTTACAAAACAGCAAATTAAGTACATTAAGAGTAAAAATATCATTATTTCACCATGAACTAAGAAAAATTTATTCATTTAAATACTAAAGACAAGTTTAACTAACTCTACTTCATAAAGTTATCAATAATATGAAGAATTGAAATTAGATTTGCTAAAAATTGATGTTCTAATGTAAGTCTAAGATTACAAACTAAAGTTTTCAACTGATAAATGTGGTCCCAATATTAGCTTGATGATATCTAATATGGTTCCTTGCTTGCAAGTTTGTTGGAGCTTTGCATGTTGGATGTGCCAAGCCCACCACCATGTACTTTTTACTTAAATTTATTATAAGAATGTGATTTGGATTTTTTTACTAGGCTATGATTGCAAAAAAGTATTTACTTAAAGTTATTATTACAAGTAGATGATTTCTTTTTCTAAGCAATTAGTAGATCATATAATGTAATATTTAAGGTAGATTCCCATGATCAAGTAATTAGTTGTGGAATGTAAGATGTTGATATTTAATTGATGCATGGCTATGTTAGTAATTAGTTTGTTAAAAACTTTGAAATGTTGTCTTATTTAAGCATACTACAAGGGTTGAACCTATCTAATGAACATAATCAGCACAATGGTTTTCTTCTAATTAGTTTTGCTCTTTGAAGGTAACATGCGTTTGAATAATCAGCACAATGGTTTCCTTTAAGATGAACAACCTAAAGAGTGAGATTTTATGTTGATTTTTGTGCTTTCTATGTTTATTTTCATTTAATTAATGCATTTATGAATTGAGAACTTTTTTGAGATTTTTAGTTAATTATTACTTGAAATATGATTCAATGTGCAATCCCTAGAAATTTTAGTGAAACTCAAAATCTCTAAACTTTGTTATTCAATTTACTCTACCAATTTTTAATGGTTATTATGCATGTTCGTACGTTTATAATTGGTTCTAAGTTAGGAAAGTCTTTCGAGTGTTTATTTTGTTTTACATTGACCCAAGTTTTTCAAGTGTTCTTTTTATTTTACATTGACTCAATCTATAAGACCATAAACTAAGTGCAATATCTTGATGAGCCTCTACGTTTATGCTTACCATGAATGTATAGGAAATAAAGCTTTTGCCTTGATAATTGGAAAAGCAAAAGTGGTTCAGGACATAGGATTTATGTTTTTACATTGTGGTGTAGGTTGCAGGCTACATCCATTCAAGTACAAGGCAAACAAGTCAAGTATATATATGAAGAATGGTAAACTAATGGTACTCAAATGTGTTTGTATAGCATGGGCATGGAAAGTGTTGTGGATGAGAACAATGGCAAATCGTTTGGAATTCTTCATGATGCTTTGCATCATGCTTGTAAAATGGCAATTGTGTGGATGTAAAACCAACTAAGGGAAAATTAGAT